CCCGGGACGCCCCTCCCCACTCACCCATGACATGAACCACCTTCTTCCTCCCCCGGGGGCTCTGCAGCGCCTCGGAGCCGAGGATTCCCGCGAGGAGCAGCAGAGCTGCCGGGCCGGCGGCCCAGGGGCTTTGGGGACGCATCTGGGGGGGACAGCAGAGCCCTCAGCACCCCCTCTAGCCCCCCCCCCGGGAGGAGACTCCGCTCTGCCCGACCACCGGCCTCGGCAGCCCCCCAGGAGCGACGCCGGTCCTCGACCCCCCCCTCCCCCGGGTGCCATCACCCACTGCCACCCCCTGACCCGCCCCGAGCGGAGGGGGGGCACCGGCAGCGCTGGGTCGCTCGTTTCCTCCCCGCGCCGCCCCCCCCCGGCCCCAGGGACCCCCGTGCCCCCGGCGCTGAACTCGGCTTGCCCCGCTCGGTTACAGCCGCGATGAATATTTCATGGCAGGCGCGCCGGGCCGCTTCTCCTGAGTTATTTATGGCAGCGCCGGCACATCTGGAAACCGAACTGATGGGGCTGGAGCGGCGGCGGCGGCGGCCGGAGCCCCCCGAGACCCCCGGCTGCGCCCCCCCCCCTTCCCGGGGCACGGCCTCCTGATCCCCGGGGGCTGCGATCCCGAGCCCCGCGTTCTGGGGGTGCCCCAGATCCCAGCCTGGTTCCGCGTCCCCCCCTCACCGCGGGAATGAGCCCCCCCCAAGCGCAGGGGAGGGTGGGGAAGGGGCGCCGGGAGCTGGATGTGGGGCGGGGGGAGCGGGGCAGCCCCCCGGGAGCGCCGGTGCCTGATCGGGGCAGCGGGAGAGGGGCGGCCCGTCCCTGTGGTCCCGGTGCCAAGTCCGGGGGAAGAGGGAGCGGGGCATCCCCCGGGGGTCCTGGTGCCCGCTCCGGGAGCACGGGAAGCGGAACAGACCCCCCCGGGGGTCTCGCTGCTCTGTCTGGGGGCATAGGGAGAGGAGCGTGTGTGTCCCCCCCCGGAGGTCCCGGTGCCCGAGCGGGGGGCAGGGGGAGCGGGGCAGCCCCTCCCGGTGGTCCCGGTGCCAAGTGCAGGGTAAGGGGGAGCGGGGCAGCCCCGGTCGGTCCGCGGGGTTGTGGAGCGGGGCAGCCCCCCCGGGGGTCCCTGTGCCCAGTCGGGGCAGGGGGAGCGGGAAAGTCCCCTTCGAGGATTCCGGTGTTCCCTCCGGGGGCAGAAAGAACGGGGCAGACCCTCGGGGGGCTCCGGTGCCCCGTGCCGGGGGCAGTGAGAGCAGGGCAGCCCCTCCCGGGGGTCCCGGTGCCGAGCGCGGTGGCAGGGGGGGGATGCGCAGCCCCTCCGGGGGGTCGCGGTGCCCGGGCGGGGCGGGGGGATGCGGCAGCCCCGGCTGTGCCCGCCCGCGGCCGCGGGCCCGGCGCGGTGTTGCAGTGCGGGACACTGCGGCGGCGGCCCCGGGGCTGCGGGACTCCGGTGCCCGGGCAGCGCAGCGCGGGGAGGGGGGGGCGGGAAACCGGCCGGTACAGGCACCGGGGGGGTCCCGTCCCGGCGCCCCGCGCCCGCCCCGCGGCGAGCGGAGCCGCCGCAGCCCCGCACTCACCGTGTCCCCGGTGCCGGCGGCGGGAGGGGCCCGCCCGCAGCAGCGCGATGGTGCCGCCGGTGCCGCCGGTGCGGCTCCGCGCAGGGAGGGGGCGGCACCGGGAGCTCGGCCCGGCCCTGCCCCGGCTCTCCCGGCGCTGCGCAGGGCCGGCGGCTCGCCAAGGTCACCGGCCCGCCCGCCTTCTCCCCATCCCCGGGACCCCCCCGGTGCTGCCGGGACCCCCGGGGGACGCGCGGGGCACGGGGAGTTTTGTCGGGGAAATCCCCCGCCCCGGGCACGGCAAGGGCAGCGTGTGCCCACCGCCCACCCGTGTGCCCACCGCCCACCCGTGCGCCCCCAGCCCACCCGTGCGCCCCCAGCCCACCCTCACAAACCCTCCTACAACCCCCCCCACCCGCGCGCCCACCGCACCCCCCCGCGGGCACACACGGGGACCCCCCGGCCCCACCCCAAAGGGCCGCAGGGGAGTGGTCATGGGGCTCTTCAGCCCTGGGGGTGCCCGGGGGGGTCCCATCCCTGCGCTCCCACCGCTGGCACGGAGGGACATCCCCGGGCACGGCAGGGACACGGCTCCGGAACGACCCTTGGCTCCTTTATTTTGTAAACAGTGTTTTCCTGGCACTGCCCCCCTCCCTCCCGAGTCCTTCCGGCGTGGCCGGGGTGGGACAGGGCACCCACGGACCCCCGGGACCCGCCGGGAGGGGAGACCCCCACCAGTGAGACCCCCCTGGGCACGGGCGGGGCTGTGGCTGCAGCCACAACGTCCCTGTAGAGCATCCGGAGGTCCCCACAGCCTTTGGGGACACCGGGGGACCAGCAGAGCACCCCTGGGGACACCTCTGGCAGCCCCTCTGGGACATCTCTGGGTCCCACTGCTCTGTGGCTCCTCGAACAGGATGGGGGCACCGGGCAGAGCAGCCCCCAGGGTGGGCACAGCAGCCCCCAGGGTGGGCAGAGCAATCCCCAGGGTGGGCAGAGCAGCCCCCAAGGTGGGCAGAGCAGTCCCCAGGGTGGACACAGCAGCCCCCACGGTGGGCACAGCAGCCCCCAGAGTGGGCACAGCAGTCCCCAGGGTGGGCAGAGCAGCCCCCAGGGTGGGCAGAGCAGCCCCCAAGGTGGGCACAGCAGCCCCCAGGACAGGGACAGCAGCCCCCAGGGTGGGGACAGCAGTCCCCAGGGTGGGGACAGCAGTCCCCAGAACAGGGACAGCAGTCACCAAGGTGGGCACAGCAGCCCCCAGAGTGGGCACAGCAGCCCCCAGAGTGGGCAGAGCAGCCCCCAGAGTGGGGACAGCAGCCCCCAGGGTGGGCAGAGCAGCCCCCCGGGTGGGCACAGCAGTCCCCAGGGTGGGCACAGCAGCCCCCCGGGCCGGGCAGGCCCCGTCACTGGTGTTTCTTTGCCCGGAGCAGGCCGGCAGGAGCGGGGGGCAGGAAGAAGGCGGGGCAGCGCAGGCAGCGGAGCACCAGGAGCTGCGGGCCCAGCGCGTAGAGGATGTTGGAGAGGAGGAAGCTCCACAGGACGTCGTCGGGGGTCTGGTAGGGGAAGGGGGTCCGGGCGTGCAGCGACGAGCCCAGGTGGGAGAACTGAGCCTGGGGACACAGGGAAGGGGTGGCACTGGGGAGGGGGAGGGTCTTGTGCGGCCCGCCCGGCCCCAGAGGGTGTGTGGTGGCAGCAGCACGGGCGGCACATCCTATTATAGCCCTGCCCCAGCCTATTTCTGGCCAGCGAATCCCCGGGCCCGGTAAAATCCACCGGGGCCAAAGCAATTACCAGGCAGCGGCAGAGCTGCTGCTCCACGTGCGGGTGCAGAGCTGAGCCCCCAAGCTCAGCCCCAACCCCCCCTGCCCCTGGCTGGGACCAAAACCCAGCCCTGGGGGTCCCAGCGTTGCCCCCCCGGGCGCCGGGACGGCCTCACCTGTGCCACGGCCCCGGCAAACACCAGGCTCCAGTCGGGCAGCCAGGAGCAGCCGGGCAGCACCAGCCCGTAGATGCAGAGCAGGAAGAAGGGGAGGGCGTAGAACATGTAGATCAGCATCTGGGGAGGGACAGAGAGAAGGTCACCCCGTCCCTGGTGCTGCCGGGGGGGTCTCCGGCCCCAGTTGGACCCCCCCCACCACTCACCTGCACTTTGGGGTAGGCGACGGGGTCGCGCAGGTACGGCTCGTGCTGGTAGATGTACTCGAAGCACGAGTCGGCAGGACAGTCCAGAACCACCTGGGGGGGATGGAGAGAGGAGGGGAGGCGGGTGGGGGGCGGATGAACCTTCCCCAATCCCCCCCGGCCTCTCCAGGCCCAGCACTCACCATCCCCCTGAAGAAGGTGAACGAGGCCATGAGCAGCAGCACCAGCACCAGGGCCGCGTCCTGGGGCCGCCGGTACAGGGGTTTGCGCTGCTCCTCCGCCACCTGCGAGAGGGAAACGCCCCGGTTTGGGCTCTGCACCCCCCGACCCAGGGGGAGGGCCCCCCCGGAGCCCCAACTCACCTTCTCGGGGCTGAGGAGCAGCGGCTCCCTGGGCTGCTGGAACAGCCTCGCCCCGGCCCAGAGGAGGAGGAGGATGTAGGGCAGGTTGAGCAGGAAGGAGAGGCTGAGCTCGGAGCTGTATTTCCCTGGGGGAGGAGGGCGCGGGATGGACACGGAGGAAGCACCGGCACCTCCCTCCTGTGCCCGCGGGGAGCAGGAAACCCGCCGGACACGGGCGGTGGGGACGGAGCCCCCTCCTCCCCCCCCCGTACCGATCATGTTCCCCAGCAGGAAGACCACGACGCTCATCAGCAGCGAGCCCAGCCAGAAGAGCCCCAGGTTCCTGTAGTTCTTCCTGCAGAGACACCGGGAACAGGCACCTCGGAGCTCCTTCCCCATGGAATTTGGGATGCTCCAACCCCTCTGAGCTCCTCTGGCACCTCTGCCAGACTTGGGGTTCCCTCCTCATGGAATCTGGGATCCTCCGACCCCCTGAGCTCCTCTGGCACCTCTGCCAGGCTCAGAGCTCCCTCCCCATGGAATTTGGGATGCTCCAACCCCTCTGAGCTCCTCTGGCACCTTTGCCAGACTTGGGGTTCCCTCCTCATGGAGTCTGGGATCCTCCAAACCTCGTGAGCTCCTCTGGCACCTCTGCCAGGCTCAGAGCTCCCTCCCCATGGAGTTTGGGATGCTCCAAGCCC